CCTGCACAGTGCTTGCCCAAGCTCCTCCAGAAGGCCTGTCCTTTCATGCTCAGAGTAGACAGAGGCTGTTTGTTTTGGCTAACACACACGAAAAAGTGCTGACAGAATAAAACACAACACCATATGACAAGTTTAACGCCAGAAGTTTTAAAGCTTTAAGGATAGTCTAAATCTGGCCCTGAGAGGATAAGGAGAAAGAGGATAAGGAAAAAATTATCTTCTTAGAATTTGGGGGGAGGGAGCAGTATTGGGGTGCTTTTCTACATCTCATGTTCACATGGTCACAACAAGGCAGCATTTAGGAAAGAAAAACTTCTATCGGAAGAACGAGACCACACCAGTACGGTGAACAGTGCTGCTTGACGCGACATGTCGAGGTAACTCTCTGTGATGTTGTCTGGATAAAAGCTCCATTAATTTTTTATATGTAAGTTTTTTTTCTCATCTAGTGCATTCCAATGGAGTTCGAGGAAATGATGTCTGTTAGACAGTAATTTGGAATTTTACACTATAGCTTGGCCAATTTTTTTAAAGGATTCCATTGTGACATATTAACTAAAATTTATTGTGGTTCTCCATCCATGTAAGTGTCTCTAGATTGACTTTCACACATTGAATTAATAACAAGCAGATTTTTAAAAAATCTAACATGTGTTATGAGAGCCAAAAAGCAAATTATTTGGTAGAAAAGCCTGTCAGCTTTTATAAAATGCTTAGATCTATAGGTTCTTTTAAAAAAGAAAATGTATAGGTTCTTTAAAAAAATAAATGTGTTTTGTAGGCTGATGAAAGATATTATCAAGCAGGATCCTTGGTCAACATTTTCAGACACCAACAGGTGACACTTACCTGCCCTGACACTGCTGTAGGGGTTACATAATCTCTGCCCATCTTCTCAACCTGTGGAGCTGATGTTATTAGTAGTGTAGTGCACAAGGTGACACAGGTGTATTTAACTTCTACAATATCACACAGTTAAGAAATGGGGATCTAGGGTTCAACCTCAGTGTTGGGAAGCCGGTCATGGCTTTCAAGCCATTTTGCTGGACAATTCCCAGAGGGCTCATAGCATCAAGCTTCATGCCCCTCGGAAATGTTTGTGGCATCTGTACCCCAGCTTGTTTCACACTGCACTGTCTGCTCCTTAAACTTCAGGCTTCTAAAATGTAGTTATGGAGTAAGGGGAGAGGGCAAAGAAAAACCTTCCCAAAACAAGCAAATAATTCCCTCAACAATGTGTGACTACGTCAGATCAATATTTCAGGTTCTCTGTCTATGGTTTGTCTTCAGTCATATAATTTGTTCTTTCAATCTGCTTGAAGGTTACGGAGATAAACTTTTGCCTAGCCCTTATTCGAGTCATCACAAAAAGCAAGTTAATAAAGGTCTCTGAAGCTGCAGATCTGATTTTGGCAGGAGTCTCCCAGACATCTTTGCTGGAAGGACGCACACTGTAAGAAGGAAAACTTAGGGCCTCCCCTGGTGGAGCAGTGGTTGAGCGCTGGGCTGTGAGGCTGCCCGCAGCCTCTGCAGTGCCGGTTTGTTCCCTGGCCGCCCGCGAGGGTCCCATAAAAAAAGAAAAAAAAAAAAAAAAAGGAAAACTCAGCTTTAGTCTCCTTGTGTTTGTCAAGTTGCTGAGATCATCAGGTGAACTCAATGTGCCACACCAGCATTAAAAAAAAAAAAAAAAGTAGTTACTGATTGATTTTTTTCTGTAACTACATTTTTTTTAATGGCCAACAGGCATATGAAAAAATGTTCAACATCACTTGTAATCAGGGAAATGCAAATCAAAACTACCATGAGATACCATCTTACACCAGTGAGAATGGCACATATTAAAAAAACTAGCAACAACAAATGTTGGCGAGGGTGTGGAGAAAAAGGAACTCTCCTGCACTGTTGGTGGGAGTGCAAACTGGTCCAACCACTGTGGAGAGCTGTGTGGAGATTTCTGGACCTACTAAACATAGAGCTTCCATATGATCCAGCAATTCCACTCCTAGGTATTTACCCAAAGGACACAGAAACATCAATTCCAAAGAGCACCTGCACCCCTATGTTTATAGCAGCACTGTTTACAATAGCTAAGCTTTGGAAACAACCCAAATGCCCAAAAACAGATGACTGGATCAAGAAGATGTGGTACATATATACCATGGAATATTACTCAGCATTCAAAAAAGATAAACACATGCAATTTGCAGCAACATGGATGGCGCTGGAAGGGATCATGCTCAGCGAAATAAGCCAGAAAGAAAAAGAAAAATACCGGATGGTCTCACTCATAGCAGGAATCTAGAAAACTTAAATAAGGGACCAGGAAAATGAATAACTATAAGAAAGTGAAAATCAAAATCAACAAAAAACTATGAACCAGAGACACTTTTTGGGGGATGGGGGTGGGAGGGGAGGGATTGGGGTCAGAATGGGGGGTTGCAATTGTATGGGGAATATAAAAATAAAATTTATTTAAAAAAAAAAAAAGTAGGGGGCATCCCCTGGTGGCGAAGCAGTTGAGTGCCAGACTGTGAAGCTGCCCGCAGCCTTTGCAGCACCTATTCGATAGCTGGCCACCTGTGAAGGTCCCACATGGCGCAACAGACCTCTCCTGCCTTGCCCACTGCTCCCCTCAGCAGTGTATTTTCGTCAGTCTGCCTGTTCTGTTCCCCGCTCTGGCTCTGGTGAATTCTCTCACCCTCCTGCTCTTCTGACTGTACCCAGTGCTTGTATAAACAAACAAACAAATAAATAAATCTTTAAAAAAATTTTAAAAAGTAGGATATAATACAAGGAAGTTTGTTTCTTAAAGTATTTATTTCAATCATAAGTACAATGAGCATGCTGGTTCACATTGTAAAATGTATTTCTTGCAGGAGTTGTAGTCAAAAATACTGAAAAAGATTGCTTAAAAAAAAAAATTCCCCCAAACGAGGACATCTCTGGTCCTTTAGTCCTGGTGGGATTCTTCACAGTGTGAGTCTGCATAAATCACCCCAAATAAAACACAGAACACCTACAGTGATGGCGGCAAGTGGAGGAGCCCTGCCAAAGGTGATGATACAATTTTTGTCTGCCACCTTTACTTTAGAAGGTTCTAGAGCTGGGAGGGATTTATTCTGGAAAAGGAAAGTGGGGTAGAACATGTCTCTCAAGTTAGACCTGTGAGCACCTCAAAATCTAGTTTCCTGATAATATTTAGATTTTCAGCACAGAAATGACTTCTGTGATAGCGCACTCCCTTGTGCGGAGGAAACACGTGGTCGTTTCTCACCAATGACTGCCCATCACCAGTCCCCACCACTAGCCCCTTTGGTCTGAAATTGATCATCTGCCCATCATGCTGGCCCTATTCCTCCTGCCCCAGGGCCTCCTCCCACCAAATCAGGTTCTTTCGTCCAAACTCCCCCCAGACTCCAAACTTGCCTTAACAGCACAGCCTCACACTAATTCCTACTTTATCCAGTTTTCCTCCAAATATCTTTTAAGTCACTACTTGTGGGGTTGCTTGTGTATGTGTCTATATCATTTGCATAACTGTGCCACCTCCTATCTCTCTCTAAACTTGAATCAAAAGCCCAGGGGACAGTCAGCACCCGCCAGGCAAGGACTACTCCTCGTCATATGTCTTTGCAACATGTGAGTGTTATACATCAGTGAGGGCTCAGATGTAGCCTGACTTCTACAAATGTGGCACCCAGTTGGGACACAGACAGACAGATGACAGATAGATTGATAGATAGATTAGATAGATGATTGATTACAGATAGATGATAGATAGGTTAGATATATGATTGAGAAATAGATGATTGAGAGTAGATCGACAGATAGATATTGCAGGTAAGGGGAATGAAACAATCTTGGAAAATAGAATTTGTACTAAGCAAGCTGCTTTGAGAAGATAGCGGCGGCATCAAATGAATTTTGACTTAAAGTGCTTCTCTAAATGCTGTCCTTGGCTTAAATCATGTAGCTGCTGTTACTGCTTTGACAACCAGACAGAATTACCTGCCTCAGCAGGTGCTTCTTTACCTGCCCATTACCACCACCTATTGGCTCCTGGGGGAACTGAGCATAAGCCTGCCTGAGGGTATGTTCTTTCTCACCAAGTTCCCAAGAGGCTTTTGGAAGCTGGAAGTAATCATAGGAGAAGTGAACACAGAGACTCTGACGCCTAAGAAATGTTTGCCAACTCTTTCTGGCTGGGTCCTCCCATACTTATAAAATTTGTTAGTAAACTCAAACATGGCACTGACATTTATGCAAAAAAAAAAAAAAAACATAGAGGTAAAACCCAAAAGAGAAAATGAACATAGAAAAGTGAGCTACCCACATCTGGAGAAACTCAGAGTTGTAGGCCTATGTTTCCAAGCACCTTGCACTGGCAAAATTGTTATCCCAAGTCATCTATTACATTACCTGCTCTTGCCAGGACCCAAAATACAGCCCCGCAGTGAAGCAAAAACCCGCCTCTCACTGCATGTTGCATCAGCATAAGGAGAGTCGCTAAAGCAGAATCTCATATGATAAGCCAAGTTATTCTCAGAATACATAAATGCTTTCAAAGTAAAATGTGGAAGAATTTTACTTTGGAAGTAAAATTTAAAAATGGAAGAATTTGCATTGAAAATTCCTGACCATGAGCTCAGGCTGCTACCTCTAACTCCAACAAAGTTTGGCTAGCACAGGCTGCAGGGAATTAAGCTCGTGATGGTTTTCTCAGAAAGCAAGGGTCTAAAATTGGGCCTTTCCTGTTTCCAATTTTGAAATCTGTCATTGCTCCAGGAAGAACATAACCCAGTTGTTCCTAATTTTGAGAAACTTCAGGGCTAACCATTTGCCACAGAAGTTAATTTTCAATGAAAAAAAGACAGGCAAACCCTTTTGACTTATTTATTATTGTGTAACAAACCACTCCAAAGTATTGTGACTTATGGCAACAATTTATTACAAAATTAAAGCAAATTATTAAATTTAAATAATAATGTGTTACTTCTCACCATTCTGAGACTTGACTGGGTGATTCTTCTGTTCCACGCCATGTCAGCTGTGGCCTCTCATCTGTCCAGCCGGGGTGAACTGGAAGATGCAAGACAACCCCAGTCACAGATCAAGTCCCTATGCCCCATGAGGCCTTTCTCCTCCCGTGGTCACTCATCCCCCTGCCTGCTCCACATGGCTTGTCTGCAGGACAGCGTGGGTCTCTCCCAACATGGCAGCCCCGTTCCACACAGGCCAAGGCAGAAACTCCCAGTCCTCTTAACATTTAGGCTTGGCACTGACCCAGGTCACTTCAATTTTGTTCCACTGCTCAGAGTAAGTGAAAAGCCTTCCCAGATTCAAGGGGCATGGGGGGGGGGAGATGGTTGCTAAATAGACATCACCTATTACGGAAGGTGCAATAAGATCTGCACCTTCTAGTAATAGTCAGCACTAGCTTTAAATACAACCTACGACACAGACCATAACAGTTAGAAAAAATATCAGATAGACCTTATTCTCACACCTTTTACCAAGACTTGGAGCAAGTTACAACTTCTCTGAGAGGATTGTCCTTTACTGCAGAAGAAGCCAACAATCACTACTTGAAGGGCCATTAAGATTAAAGGAGATCAGCACAGTTAATGCCCATGGCACATGCTCATGGTTCAGCAAATGCAGCCTATTCCATGAGATGCTAGACCCACACAGTGACCTAAAGACCATACACAATGGAATACTACTCAGCAATCAAAAAAGATAAACTGATGCCATCTGAGGCAACATGGAAGGAGATAAGTGAGCCTGAAAGAGAAAGATAAATACCAGATGGTTTCACTTATATCTAGACTCTAGATAAACTAAATGAAGGATCAGACAAAGACAAAACTATAAGACTAACCCTTGAAAGCAGACCATAAATTTGAGACACTCGGGAGGGGAGGCCGCTGGGGAGAGACGGAGGAAGACCAGAGAACAGGAGAGAGGAGAAAGCGGTGGAAAGTGGTAGACTATGGGCATTTTGGTGGTGGGAAAACTATGGTGACCACAACTTAGGGAAGAAATCTGATATTGTGAAAAAACTAACAAGGTTGTTTAAAAACAAAAATTTTAAAAAATATATGAAAGGACAGATAGGAGAGGAGGTGCCATTTTGGAAGCCACAGTGTTCAAGGCTGGCTCTGCAGCACACCTTGCTGTGGTTTGCTAGAAACTTAGATTCTTCAGTCGCCTTTTCTCACCTTCACTTTCTCCTATGCACCATATAAAGTGTTACAAATATTTTTTTTTCTTGAAATCAAAGTTTCTGTAAATATACTTTCTTATTTCCAGTAAGGATACAGAGTACAAGTGGGTGCCTCTGAAGTCAGCAAAGGGCAGGCATGAAGCCAAGGCAGCAGAGCACAGAGCTGCTGACCCCTCCCTCTATCACCTCCCCTTTCCCAGTTTGTTAGGGTGGCTCCACATAAGATTTGATGTGAAGCTGGAATCCCCGGTTTATCACACAGTGTCACCTTGACAAACAGAACACCATAATGGAACACCGAGGGGCACATTCTGAAGGAGGGTGAGCGAGGTTTCAGAGTAATGAACTAAGAGAAGACACGTGGTTCATGGGAAGAGGGAATGGGCAGAGAGGCATCTTGGAGGCTAGCCTTCAAGAGATGGAGCAGAGCTGCAGAAGGCTTTTGACAGCTGAGCGGTCTGCCAGCGACCATCATGATGCCCACTCTGCAGCTCTCTCCTGATACACACACATCCGTGCTCTCCTTCACCCCTGGCATTCTCTTCCTGGATATTCTGGGCACGCAACCCCAGTGAGAGGCTCAGTCGAAGAAGGGCAGGGATGGTGACAAATACTGCAGCTTTCCCAATCCTGAGTGGGATGACTCTGCTGCCTATGGGTTTCTTATGTGGCCCCAAGGGGCTTGAGCCTCAGTAGCCCACAGTGGCCACCCAGTCATTGTTGTCCTCCCTTCCCTACTTCCTTGCACAGTTCCTCCCCAAGCTACCTTGGGGAGATTAGGTTAGGTTCCCAATCAAAATACCTGCACCTACAACTTTGTAGCAGGGTCTGTTTTGAGGATAAGACAACTTTAACTTTTTCTCTGGCTGACTCAGGATGGGCTCTGAGGACAGAATCTGGAGCTGCAAGGGCAAAAGATATATGAACAACATATGACCCTTTCCTTCCTTTCTTGAAGTCTGACCATTTTCCATCAGAGTCATCCTTCCTGTCTTGTCGAACTCTTCCCTTTTCTCTCAATCTTTATAATTCAACACCGGAGTAGGATGCTTCTACCAGTTTTTGATTAAAATCCTCAGCTTTAGTGTTCTCTATTTTCTCCTTTGGGTTTATCCTTGGTCATATCACCCACTCTGCTATGATTTGGGATTTGTTTGGCCACCCCATTTTTCCTACCTTATCTTTCCTGTCTGATGATTTCTAAGTCCCAATTCTCATTTCTAGAGAAGCAGAATTCAGGCAGTTTCGATTCCCAGGACTACTTGGGGATCTTGACTTTCTGCTGATGACAGATATTTTGGTCATCCTTTTCCATGGAGAGAAGGTCAAAAAAGAATCGAATTACTTAGTGCTCCTGTAGCTGTAAGGAGCAGAAACCAAACTCAAATTAGCTCAAAGAAATAAAGGATTTTTCAGTTCACACAGCTGAAAATTCTGGCAATAGTTTGGCTTTAAGCAGAGTGGGATCCAGGAGTGGAAATGACAGTATTCCTTTTCAGATCTGCTTTCCTGGGGTAAGTTATGTCCTTGGAAAACCAAATTCAATGCTTCAGGACTGGTGATTCCAGTGGAGAGAGTTTTCTTCCTTGACAATCTCAACAGAAGTTCACATGGGTTCTCATTAGCCTAGTCTGGTAATGGGCCAGTCCCAGATCCAAACATGAAGTCCAGCGACCATCATGATGCCCCACCATCATGATGCCTCTCACTGGGGTTGAGTGCCCAGAATATCCAGGAGGAGAATGCCAAGGGTGAGGAAATCAGGGATGTGTGTGTATCAGGAGAGAGCTGCAGGGTGGGGCATGATGATGATCGCTGGAACTTCCACTTACTGGTTTGAGATGGAGAGGTGACCAACCCAAAACAGTGAAAGATGGTGGCTCACTCAAGAAAATACCAGATATTATTACTAGGACTTGAGATTTGGAGGTTGGTTGAGCAAAGATAAGCCACCAATGTTACTAAGCATCTATTACAGGCCATCAGCCTGTCAGGCTCCATTCATGTGTGATCATTAAATCCTTAGGTAGAGGCAAGATCACCACATTTTATAGACATGAAAACCAAATGTCAGGAAGGTGAAGCCTTTCAGTTTAGTGATCATGGGCTTCTCTCTCAAGGAGTCAAAGCTGATCTCCAGGAGCGTGGCCTCAGTGTCTGTAGCCCATTTCTCAGAATTCAAGACTCAGATCCCTGGGTCCCTCTACTTCAACATCCATGACTGTGAGGCTTCTACATGGCTCCCAGCTCCTGACTCTTCAGATTTCCAACTCACAATCTCGTGGCAGAAGAGAAGGAACTAGCTTTCTCAACTCTTACACAGGGGGCACTCCTGTCCTGGTCAAACTGTGAGCTCTGTGCACTTCCACAAGCCTCTGTGGTGACACATCTGTTCAACGTTCCTAGTGAACAATGAGATTCAGCTCCAAATCAATGGGCTTCATTTTAATAGTGTAGAATCCTGAAAATATACGCATTCCAAGCATGGTATTATATTGTATTCTAAACAGTAGAAGGGGAGACACTAGCAATAAGACAACAAAGCAAGTTCCAGTGATGGATATTCTACCCTCATCCAGAAATGCTCCCTCAACTTGACCTTCAACTTGAAGGCATTTTTCTGGTATCATTTTGGTTGATGAACCTGTGTCCCCTCCTTGCCCCCACAAGCAGGAGTCAAAGTGAATCCTGCAGCACTTCCTCCCCTTTCCCAGAGACAGGGAGTCTTGCATGCATGCAAACCCTTTAGCCAGGAGACAAACATGTGCAAAATCCCACTGGCAAAGCCTGCTATGAAACTGTGTCCCGTGGTGAGGGAATCTGAAGCCCCTGGGAGTCAACGACTCTGGCTCAGGTTAATCTCACATAGGCTGCATCCAAGGCTCAGCAGTAGCCCTGGAGGCACGATGAGGCGGTACTGCCTCTCTCCTGGGGAGGACATCAGGGCTGGGGGGGTGGGGGTGCTGGGCCTTTGGGAATGCCTCTCTTCACCTTTGAATGAGCAGAGGTGCAAAACTGTTGTCTCCTGGCCCAGTCCCAAGTCAGGAAATTGCTTTTTACCTACTGGGGCTCCACATGCCTTTTCACTTTGCGGGCCTCTAGCCCAGCAGCCAATGAGATGTGCCATCTGCCAGGCACTGGGCCCACTCTCTGGCACCTGGCTCACCCCAGCAATTCCTTTGGGACTAGCAGACTCTCAGTTGGGAGGCATATGGCAGACATGAACTGGAAGTAAGGTTGTACCAGGACTACCTGGACCCCCGAGACCCCATCGAAGTGTTAAGCAGACAACTCAGCTACTGCCTTACCCCACTTAGCAAAAGCTCTTCCTTCACTTGGATCTGCCATACAGCCCTATTCCCTGTGCAATAAAGCCCCTGGTGGAGAAACAAATTGAGAGCAGATTTCATTCAGTTTGAAGTTTTTAAAGGCTCTACACAAGTTATATCTGATCTTTCTTTATGGATGTGCTTCATTACCAGGAGGAGACAGGACCTCACCATGATATAAAAAGAAATATATGTGGTATTCGTGCCCTGTTCTTGGCACCAAGGTCCTAAATTCCTTAGTACTCCCTGATTGAGAGGAGGGGCTTTGTTATTTATATGGAGGATTTTTCCTCACTCCTGAACTTATGTTAATGAGGTAACCTAGGTTGAGACCCTTAGGTAGCCTCTGGGAGGAGCTGATAATCAGAACACCAAGTAATTAAAGGATTAGAGCTCTAGGGCTAGAAATTGAAACCTATAGAAACTCTTGAGCACTGAGAGTCAGAGAACTTGCAGGTTAGTAACCTCATCACAAGCCCCTCCCCCATATCGTGTGCGGCTCTTCCATTTGGCGGTCCCTGAGTTGTAGCCTTAATAGTAAACCAGGAGATGTTTAAAAGAAAAAAAAAGTGCTTTCTGAGTTCTGGGAGCCATTTTAGCAAATTATCAAACCTAAGGAGTGGGAGTCATAGCAAACCCCAATTTATAGCAAGGTGGCCGGGTCTTGCATTTGGAGTCTGAAGTGGAGGAGTCGTGTGACACTGAGCCCTTGACCTCTGGAATCCAACACCAACTCCAGGCAGATAGTGTCAGAATGGAGCTGGATTATAGGATACTCCGCTGGAAGAGAACTGGAGAACTGATGATTCGTCAGAACATACCCACCTGCCCTGCTCTCAGCCAGGAAGGACTCCCGGCTGACAGCTCTCCTGTGAAGTGAGCAATGTGAGGCTCACCACGTCTAGAAGCAAAAGGAGGACCGATCCCAGCCTAGTAAGGACTGAGGCCAGACCCTGTCAAGACTAGTACAAACTGTGACTGAGATAATAAATTACCACCGAGGTATATATACACAATGGAAGACTATTCAGCAATCAAAAAAGATAAACTCATGCCATTCACAGCAATGTGGATGGAGCTAGAAGGAATTATGCTCAGTGAAATAAGACAGAAGGAAAAAGAAAAATACTGGATGGTTTCACTTATAGGAGGAATATAGGGGAACCAAATAAGACATCAGGGAAAAAATAATAACAATAAAAAATACAACCCAACAAAAACAGACAATTATAAACCAGAGACATCCTGCAGGGGGGGAGGAAGGAGAGGGATGAGAGGGAGGGAGGGAGGAGCACAGGGGACTGAGGTGATGGTGCACAGGTGCATTGGTGAAGGAAACTCTATGGGGACTACACCTGGGGAGGGGGAGGAGAAAGCAAACATTGTTTAAAAATGGACGATGATGGGGCCACCCCGGTGGCGGTGGCGCAGCGGTGGCGCAGCGGTTGAGCGTGGGGTTGCGAAGCTGCCTGCAGCCTCTGCAGTGCCGGTTCGATCCCCGGCTGCTCCCTGGCCACCGGAGGAGGGTCCCACATGGCGCGCAGACCTCTCCTGCCGCCCGCTGCTCCCCTCAGCAGTGTACTTCGGTCCTTCTGCCTGCTCTGCTCCCCGCTCTGGCTCTGGTGAATTATCTCACCCTCCCGCGCTTCTGACTGTACCCAGTGCTTGCATAAATAAATAAATGAATCTTAAAAAAAAAAAGAACGATGATGTAAAAAATATATTAAAAAAATAAACAAATAAAATAAATAAATAAAAAATAAATTACCATCTATCAGTTTGCTGAAAACAGCAAAAAATCATTCACTCACAGAATGGCACGTATTTAAAAAAAACTAGCTACAACAAATGTTGGCGAGGATGTGGAGAAAAAGGAGCTCTCCTACACTCCTGGTGGGAGTGCAAACTGGTCCAACCACTATGGACAGCTGTGTGGAGATTCCTCAAACTGCTAAAGATGGAGCTTCCATATGATCCAGCAATTCCACTCCTAGGTATTTACCCAAAGGGCACAGAAACATTAATTCAAAAGGGCACCTGCACCACTATGTTTATAGCAGCACTATTTACAATAGCTAAGCTATGGAAGCAACCCAAATGCCTGAAAATAGATGACTGGATCAAGAAGATGTGGTATATTACACAATGGAATATTACTCAGCCTTCAAAAAAGATAAACACATGCCATTTGCAGCAACATGGATGGAGCTGGAAGGAATCATGCTCAGCGAAACAAGCCAGAAAGAAAAAGAAAAATATCAGATGGTCTCACTCATAGCAGGAATCTAGAAAACCTAAATAAGGGACCAGGAAAAAGACTAATTATAATAAAGTAAAAAGCAAAACAACAAGCAACTATAAACCAGAGACACACTATGGGGCAGGGGGAGGAAGGAGTAGGGTCAAAATAAGGGGTTGGAAATTGTATGGGGAATATAACCAAGATGAAAATGCATACATTGTGCAAAAGTGGAAAACGATGTAAAAAATATATAAAATGAAATAAAATTTAAAAAAATCATTCTCTCATGTCTCTGGAAGGCAGATATCCAAAATCAAAGATCCAGAAGGTGTGGTGTCCTCTGTAGGACCTGAGGGAGAATCTGTTCTGTGTATCTCCCCCAGCTTCTGGTGGCCTCACAGTGCCCTGGGCTTGCAGACACATCATCCAGCCTTTGCTTCCATCTGCAAGTGGTTCTTCCTGGAGATCTATAACAGCCTGTGCTTATGAAGGCACCTGTCATTGAATTCAGGTACCACCCTAGCTCAGTGTGATGCCATCTGCATGATAACACCTGCAAATATCCTTTCTCCAAAAAAGGAACCATTTTGAGGTGCCTACAGACCTGAGTTTGGGGGCGGGGGAGACAGCATTTTGCACATGCAAAATTCTATTTAATCACTAAATAAGGAAGGTGATGCTTAGAGAAGCCAAGAAGATGCCATAGCCACTTCACAGAGCAGGGTTCACAGGGATCTGATTCTCACCCAGAGTCTCCCAGAATGTGGGCATGCTGTGCCAAGTGCGTGGATAGCTATGTAAGCTGAAGAGGTAGCTTCCAAAGGAACTTCTACACAAACTTTGAATATTTGAAACTTTTGTACGTAGGAGACTTTATATTTCACCAAATCTAGAACTTCAGTCTTAGCAACAGAAACAAGGTATCCACATGCAGGGAATTATATGGTGTTTACATGGCAGTAATATAGGACTCAGGATAATATTGACAATGTATGCGATACTAGCTTTTACTTTGCACAAAGTACTTCTGGCCCCTGCACCCCGCCTTCCGTACCCCTCAGCAATGCTCTTTAACCTGGTGTGGGGCTTCCTTTCCATAGCAGCAACTGAATCCAGTTTGCCATTCTTCCATTACTGGCAGAACCAACATCTTTGTACCTCAGATATCCGAGTTCTGTGGGGCTCCTTCTCTGAGCTTCAAAGTTTTAATGATTTCTGAAGTTTCCTTTTATTCTCTCATCTGGAGGGGAAGTAGCCCTTTCCTTCCGTTGCCCTCACTGTGATACCTTAGATGTCTCTTTCAGTTACCCAGATCACAGTTCTTTGTTTATTGTCCTTTTTTTTTGTATGAATAAAATATTTCTTTTTATTGAGGTAAATTTGGTTTGCACCGTGGTTTGTCGCTTGTCTTTTGGAAGTGTAAGATCCCACCATCCAGATGTTGTGATCACATACACCCACCACCAATGCACCCCCAATCCATTGTGCTCCTCCCCCACTTTGTTCTTACAGCCCCCCTCTGGTAGCCCCTGTTTGTATAGTGACATTTCTAGGGTTAGTTCTTTGTTTGATGCTATCTGACCCTTTGGCTTCTCTATAGTCCACATCCAGTATTACAGCTTCTTGTCTAAAATTCTGTCTGTTAAAATAACTGCGAAGTTTTGTCTCCTGAGTGGCTCAAGCACTCTGTGCAACAGGATGAAATCCCAGTTAGGTACAAAACTAGGAAAAGCCCATTACCAAAGGTTGACCTATTTCTTTTTATATTTATATATCTTTTTTTATTATTTATTTATTTATTTATTTATTTATTTATTTATTTATTTATTTATACGAGCACTGGGTACAGTCAGAAGCATGGGAGGGAGAGAGAATTCACCAGAGCCAGAGCAGGGAGCAGAGCAGACAGACTGGCGAAACACACTGCTGAGGGGAGCAGCAGGCGCCATGTGGGACCCTCCTCCGGTGGCCGGGAAGCAGCCGGGGATCGAACTGGCGCTGCGGAGGCTGCAGGCAGCTTTGCAACCCAGCGCTCAACCGCTGCGCCACTGGGGAGGTCCGGTTGACCTACTTTGCAAGATGAACCAGGCCTTGTGTTTATATTAAAATGGACAAACGTTTGGATCAAGGCAGTTTGTGGTTCCCAAGGTAGAAGTCTTTCAACACCAAGAAAAGGACTTGAGTTATCCAGTTTCCCGCCAGGGGGCAGCAGGAGACTTGGCCAATGGCGCTGTCCGAATCCACAGGTCAGCCAGGATGGGAACTGCGCTCAGCAGACACTCCTCTCCTCTAATGCTGTCACAGCAGGCTTCATTCCTCCGGGCACGGTGGGGATCTGTTTCGGTGCCCGGCAGGTGATTTTACAGCTATGGAGCCAACAGGACATTTCAGATCTTGGCTGAGTTCCTTGGCAGCTGTAAGATGCCTTTTTTAATTGCTCCAGTCTCTGCATGAGACTGAAACAGTGGTTGTCTGGATAGGAAAGCTGGTGCTGAGGAGGAAGGGCCAGTTCCTGGCAGCCACCAGCTCAGAGCCTCTGACAGCTGCCTCCTTGCCATCCCGCGGAGACCAGTGGGCCAACCGGTGAAGACGTGACCTCATCAACTCCACAGCTTACCTTGCCTGCATCTCCTTCCCACTCTGTCTCCTCCAGACTGAGGAGCCTTGAGAACAAGTTTGGGTCTTCTTTGTATCAGTGTCACCAGCAAGCAGCACAGTCCCTGACCCATGGCAGTGATGTTGGTTCTTCCACTGAGCTGAAACAAATTGAACTGAGGGTGATCTTTCCTCTTGGGAGCTTTCAGGACTATGTGCAAATGCGGCACCATACTCTGAAGTGTCATGGGCTGTAACTGATTTTGCCCTTTCATTCACGGCTGCTCCCCCTTCCTTTAATCAGGAGAGAGAGACTGGAATGGCCATTCTTTGCCCCTCCTCCCCCATGGCCTCCATTAACAAAGCACAGGTCTGAGAAAGGGGCCACATGGTTCCCCACACAGGATGAGGCAGCCACAGAAGCAGAGACCGTCAGGCAAGAACACACTGTCTTCTCTCTCAGTTTAAAAATTCAACCCTCTTGACTTCCCTTGCCACATTGCAAATATCATAAAATATCTTTTTTATCTAGGAGATTGGTAGTAATTCTCAGTATTATTGATGGTAATACTAATTAAAAGTATTTTTAACAGCCAAGATATATTAAAATTAAGTTTTTAAATTCACCTATGGCACTGACAAAGAACAAAAAGATGAGCAACACTATACATGTATCAGAATGGCTAAAAAAACCATAAAATTTGGCAACAGCAAGAGTTGGCCAGGATACAGAGCCATGGGAATGCTCATCCATTTTTTTAAAGATTAATTTATTTATTCATACAAGAGCTGGGGTATAGGCCAGAGGGGTGTGGAGGGTGTGAGGATTCACCAGAGACAGAGTGGGGAACAGAACAGGCAGACGGACTGAAATATACTGCTGTGTGAAGTAGTGGGCAGGACAGGAGAGGTCTGCTGTGCCATGTGGGTAGCTCCCTGGCTGGGGACCCAACTAATGCTGCAGTGGCTGTCGATATCTTCATAGTGCTGACACTTAATCCCTTGCCCTACCAGGGAGGCCCCCTCATCCATTGTTGACAGAAGTGGAAATGGCACTGAGAAAGATTTGGCAGGTCTTTAGGTTTTTTTTTTAACTGAACATAAACTTACCATAGGTATCCCCTCCTTTCCATGGTTTCATTTCTCTGCTGTCAACCCAGGTCCAAAAATATTACATACAGTATATTGTTATGACATATAATTTTATTGGTCTTAATTATTATAGTGCATTGCTATAATAATTTTATTAGTAGTAAGAGATGAATATTAATCTCATACTGTGCCTCATTTATAAATTAAACATTATCATAGGTATGTATATATATATATTAGGGTATAGTACTACCCATGGTTTCAGGCATCCACTGGGGATCTTGAATCATCTTTCCTGTGGATAAGGGGGACTTCTATATAAGACTCAGTCATCCCATGCCTAGATACCCAAGAGAGATGAAAACTTATGTACACACACACACACACACCTGTGTAAGAAGGTTTATGTCAGCACTATTCATAATCAATAAAAACAGGCAATAACCCAACCCAATCAGTGGGTGAGGGGTAGATAAACTGTGGCACATCTACACATGAGAGTACCTGAAAGTCAGCAGGAACGAAGAATCAGCCATTGGTTGGCATGAGCAGCAAGGGCACGAATCTCAAAGGCATTACACTGAGTGAAGAGACCCAGATAGAATTCTGTAGGACTCCATTTATGTAACATTTCTGTTACAGGATAGGGAGAGAGGCTCCCCAGAACTCCCAAGCCTGCCTGTTCTTAATAGGCTCTGCCATCTGCTGCATCAAGACAAAACATATAGACATTTAATGGAAAGAAACTTTAATACAATTAGTGTGCAACAAAGAATATAGTTTCCAAATAAACCATTGAAGTTACCCACTCCCTCATGGGTAAAAGTCCAGCCAAACAGTATTAGCCCAAAGCAAGGCCTGAAAGCCTGCCCCAAGCCTAAAGCACCTTCTGGCAGGGACCCATAAAAAAGGATCAGAAACAGCCAGACAAGTCTGGGAGGAAAAGAGCAAAATCAAAATTAAGATAAAAGATGCTATTGTTATCCTCCCCATGGGTCTCTCACCCACATCTGCTTCACCTAGTCCATGACCAAAAGGCAAGCATGGTTTCTTCACATGTCTCTATGCTCCACGTGCCTCCTCCAGGCCTCCTTCTGGTTCTCCATCCTGCTTCCTTCCTTCTGTCTCCTCCCCAGCTTCTTCTCCTCCCTGCTCAGCTCTACCTTCCCTTGGGTGGGACAGGGAATCTGGAACCTCCCCCTTTCTCCTGGGGGCCACCCTGTTACAGATTCTAAAATTATTGGATAAGCAATTATAGTGAAACAGGATGTTCAGTCTCAAAGCATCACTTAATCAATAACTTAATCACAAAGGATCAAGGTACTCTGCTAAGGGTGACATAAACTAGGACACTTCCTTACCTAAGCACTCAAAAAGTGAACATCACCAATAATGGAAGAAATTGAAATCCACTTCCTCCTGATACACCCATTGAAAAGAAAGTAATATCGTCTATGTAATACGCCTGACAGTAAAACTTAAGCAAAATCTAATCTCAAAGAAATTGGATAAATCCAGATAAAGGTATATTTTATAAAACTCTTCAAAATGTGAATGCCATGAAAGAACACAGAAAAGACCAGGATACTGTTCTGGATAAAAGGAAATCAAAAACACAACAATAAAACTCAATATATGTGACCCTTGATTCTATTCTGGATCGAAGCAAAAAGCTATTACATATCCAATAATTGATGTGGATTTTACATTAGAAATTTGTAACTTATTGATATAAATCTTGTCAGGTATGATGGTTATAGGATGCTATGTTTATCTTCTTAAAAGATACATGCTAGAGTATTTAGTGTGTATGTCTAAACTAATTCCAAGAGCTTATAAAAATAAATACAGAGAGAGAAAGCAGAGGTGGATCTAGAACAGATGAAGCACTTACAAGGGCTCATTATACTTATTTTTCCCCCAAAGACTAGTTTTCAAGATATAAAACAGAAAGAAAAGAAAAAAATTGAATGATGAGGAAGGCCAAATATTGGCATGAACACACAGTGCTAGAGGTTCCCATGCAAAGTTGGTGTGAGTTGTTCTGTTTTGTCTGACGGGAAATCAGACACATATGAAGTATAAACTGAGCAAATTTTTTGACACAGACACCCCACTCTTGGGTTGACTTGATGAGAGAACTCACTGATGTCTGTGACCTATAGTTTCATTGTAGCCTTATTTTTCATACCAGAAAAATGCAAAAAAAAAAAAACCCTTAATGTCCATCATTAAAAACTGAAAAATAAAATATGACCCATGTCTAGCTCAGAGTCTTAAGCATGGACTCTGAAACCACACACCCCTATGATGCTGTTTCATTTCCTTGGGCCCCAGTCTCTTCATCTGTGAAATGGGCATAATAACAAATCCTTCCTTGTAGAGCTGCGTGGCCATGTCAGCTCACTTGAACAAAGCATTTATTATAGGCAAATAGCAGGCATCAGGTTGATTTCCATATTGTTAACTATTATGCAATCACTAAGAACAATGATGCAGGCCTTTACTTACTGAAGCCTATGACATAGTGGGAATTGAAAAGTCAGGACTCTGAATAGAATATAATACTGAATTCCACTTGTGTAAAGGGACATTTAAAATTTCCATTTGGATACATTTATAGCAAGATGTCCTCAAGGATCTCTAACACCTAAGTGCTACCAGTGGGCAATGAAGATGGGAGACTTCCAGCATTTTTTGTTTCTATGTTGCTAAATTTTCTTCCTCCCTCCCTCTCTTCTTCTCTTCCTCCTTCCTTCTTTCTATCCTTTTTTCCTCCTCTCCTCTTTCTTTTTTTACAACCACATATAACACTTTAAAAAATTTATTTATATATATTTTACATCATTGTTCATTTTAAAACAGTATTTGCTTCCCCTCCCCCCTCAGGTGGAGTCACCATAGAATTTCCTTCACCAATGCACCCGTGCACCATCACCTCAGTCCCTCCCTCCCTCTGATCCTTCTCCCTCCTCCTCCCCTGCAGGATATTTCTGTTTTATAATTGTCTGTTTTTGTTTTGTTTTGTTATTATTTTTCTACCAAAATGTCTTATTTGGTTCCCCTATATTCCTGCTATAAGTGAAACCATCCAATATTTTTCTTTTTCCTTCTGGTTTATTTCCCTGTGCATAATAGCTCCACCCATGTTGCCGCGAATGGCCTAAGTTTATCTTTTTTGATTGCTGAATAATATTCCATTGTGTATATATACCACACCTTCTTGATCCAGTCATCTATTTTTGGGCATTTGGGTTGTTTCCAGGTTTTACCTATTGTAAATAGTGCTACAATAAACATAGGGGTACAGGTGTTCTTTTGAATCAATGTTTTTGCGTCCTTTGGGTAGATCCCTAGGAGTGGAATTGCCGGGTCATATGGTAGCTCCATTCTTAGTAGACTGAGGAACCTCCACACAGCTCTCCATAGTGGTTGGACCAGTTTGCACTCCCACCAGCAATGTAGGAGAGTTCCTTTTTCACCACATCCTCGCCAACATTTGTTGTTGCTAGTTTTCTTGATATGTGTCATTCTTACACCTATAACATTTTTACATGAGATTCTGTTCTAATTTTGAGAAGATAAACTAATCACATATCTATGGACCTCCTTGCCTGCTCAGGCTGACTGAGTGTTTGGCCAGGTACTTTGCCAGATGAGGCGCAATGGGCCATTTCTTGCGACCCCTGTCCCTATATAATGATATCCAGTGACCTTTGGCACAACTCACTGCCCTGTCCTCCGCCTAGGAGTTCTTCCCCAGCTCTCTGCTGGACACAGAGAAGTCTGTTAGTAGTCTATTAGTGTGTTTGTTTCTTTTCATCAAGTGATTATGCTTTCCCAATATTTTTACCTCATTTTCATACATCAGGTATTATATGCCACCAGTGTGCTCAAGACCTGTGCCTGGCTCAGGCAGAAGAGTCACTGACATCTCTACTTTGGAGGGCACTCAGCTATTTTCTCAGTATTTTTTAAAAGGCATCCCAATGACCTGCAAAAATTCAGCTTCCCCCTCATGTCCCAAGGCCTGACTAGGCAGCTGGATGGATTCGGAGGTGTAAGTACCACGCTGGCCACGAGATGGCAGTCTTTCCCCGCGGCAGGCTCCCCCAAAACAGGCATTCCAAGCGGGTGTATTTCTGAATCCAGCTTCTGTGCAGCCTGAAGCAATTTCAGGAAAAAGATTCTTTACCAAAGAGATCTTCACTAAAGAAGAGAACAGTAGGATTAAATACTCGGAAACAGAGGAACTTGAAGAAGAAAATACAATTTCCCAACACCACGTGCTCACCCAGACTTCTCTTCAACAAAAGTTCCAACAGTTTTGTGTCCACTGCAGTCTGGAGTTGAATTAGAATTGCCAAGCATCCCAGGGAGCTCTGAATCCACATTCCTTTATCCCTTTGTGCCACTCAAAGCCAGATATTGATGTCTGAAAACAAGATACATAAGCTTCATTATTTAAGTGCCTTTTCCTTAAACAAGAACGCTTTAATACTTAACAAGGTAGGGAAGCTACATAATTTAAAATCTATGCGAATAGAAATAAGAAATTATTTGTAGCGGTCTCCACTTTTACACCCACCAACAAAGAAAGACATTCACAATTTTTTGCCTTCCCAGGGCCCCAAAATACAACACAGGCCTGTTCTCCTGCCCCGGGCAGAAGCTGCAGCTGAAGCTGTTCTTTATCAGCTTTTCTTTCTCAATATTTACCAACCAATAAATCTTTTTTCCCCTAAGACAACTGACATTCGAATCCCGTTCATGTGGAGGCTTGTTATCCAAATAATATTAAATAAACTGCTTCATTAGCCTCTGAAAAAGTATTAAGATGGATTTTTTTTCCTTGCGGGTCAATATTGAGGGGGAGGGTGTCCCTCTGAGGGACTGGCAGCTGCCTGCCCTTAATGAGCGTGGCTCAATCCAGGGGGTAGGCACTCTGGGGGGCAGCGAGCACCCTCCTGCCACAGGGGCTTGTGTGCTGACCCGTGGAACCTGTCTATTTGGGCTCGGGGCCTACGGGAGTGGCTGCTCCCCAGTGGGCACCAGCAGGGCCAGCCTGTCTGGCCCCTCACCGAGGGCCCAGAGGACAGGAAATGTTGCTCTTTTCCAAAGCTGAAGAAGTCAGTGTTTTCATGAGAATTCCAGTTCTCAGTTTTCGTAAACCAGTGCTGTTTTCTCTTTTTTCTGTGGGAGGTGGTTGTGGGAGGAAAGCGCTCTGGCCTCTGGAGGTCTGGGGCTCACCAACTGCCTGGTGGAACCAGTGGGACAAGACTCTCCTCCCTAAGCTGCAGTTTCCCAACTTTTCACTGCTCCTTCAGACCCACCCATAGCTGAACATAGTAAGGATCTAAGATGAAGGAAAGTGCAGAGGGACACTGAAAGCTTCCAGCCATCAGAGTGCCAGCACTGGTCCAATTTTAATGGAGGCTAAGCAACTGGAGACTGAACCTGGAGAATCTTCTAGGAAAAATTAAAAAAAAACTATTACCAAAAACAGAGTGGGGGCCAGAACAGGTGGATTGACTGAAATACACTGCTGAGGGGAGCAGCAGGTGAGACAGGAGAGGTCTGCTGTGCCATGTGGGTAGCTCCCTGGCCAAGGACGAACTCCTGCTAAGGTGGCTGCGGATTGCTTCATAGTGCTGAGACTTAACCCCTTAAGCCTACACCTGAGTTCTTACATGCATAAATAAATAAATCTTTAAAAAAAACTTTTAAATAGCAATAGTAATGAATGATGTTTACATGGAGATTTTGCTTTCCAAGGTCCATTCAAAATGTTTAATTGTATCAATTTAATCCTCACACACTCTGATGATCTATAATGTGATATATAATAATGCCTATTTTACACTGGAGGCAGCTGCAGCACTGAGAGGCTAAATCATTCCTTTGGGGTCCTGTAGTTGGTGACTAAAGGATCTGAAGCCTGGAGACTTGGCTCTGTGACTGATCCTCACCAGCCCTGCTGCCTTGGGGTGGCAAGTGTGGGTGACCTCTGAGTGGTGTGGAGAAGGTCTACTGGGCAGCCTGTTCCAGCCCTTGACACCACCCTCGAAGGGGTCTTGTTGTGAGAGTGCAATCCCCGTAGAAGGGGAGGTATTGGGTTCCCTGTCCCACCAAGGAAGGGTGGACCTGGGCAGGGAGGGGTAGGTAGAAAAGACTGGGAGAGAAATGGAGAAGATGAGGGAAAGAAAAGACCTGGAGGAGGTACATGAAGCAGAGACATGTGAAGAAGCCTCACTTGCTTCTCAGCTTTGCACTTGCACCTGGGCCTTGGGGAATATGGAGGGAGACACCTAACAGACATGGGTGAGACACCTGAGGGGAGGCTGACAATGGCAGTCTTTATCTTGATTTTGGTTTTGCTCTTTTCCTTCCAGACTTGCCTGGCCCTTTCTTCCCCTTTTCCATGGGTCCCCACCAAAAGATGTCTTGACTTCATATGAAAAAATGTTCAACATCACTTGTAATCAGGGAAATGCAAATCAAAACTACCATGAGATACCATCTCACACCAGTGAGAATGGCACATATTAAAAAAACTAGCAACAACAAATGTTGGCGAGGGTGTGGAGAAAAAGGAACTCTCCTGCACTGCTGGTGGGAGTGCAAACTGGTCCAACCACTATGGAGAGTTGTGTGGAGATTTCTGGACCTACTAAACATAGAGCTTCCATATGATCCAGCAATTCCACTCCTAGGTATTTACCCAAAGGACACAGAAACATCAATTCCAAAGAACACCTGCACCCCTATGTTTATAGCAGCACTATTTACAATAGCTAAGCTTTGGAAACAGCCCAAATGCCCAAAAATAGATGACTGGATCAAGAAGATGTGGTACATATACACCATGGAATATTACTCAGCATTCAAAAAAGATAAACACATGCAGTTTGCAGCAACATGGATGGCGCTGGAAGGGATCATGCTCAGCGAAATAAGCCAAAAAGAAAAAGAAAAATACCGGATGGTCTCACTCATAGCAGGAATCTGGAAAACTTAAATAAGGGAACAGGAAAATGAATAACTATAAGAAAGTGAAAATCAAAATCAACAAAAAACTATGAACCAGAGACAATTTTTTGGGGGGTGGGGGGGGCGGGAGGGGAGGGATTGGGGTCAGAATGGGGGGTTTGCAATTGTATGGGGGAATATAAAAATAAAATTTATTATTAAAAAAAAAAGATGTCTTGTCTTGTGGCAAGCTTTTGGGCCTCAGTAGCCCCGTTTTGGGCCAACCCTGTTTGGCTGGTCATTTGCCCACAAGGGAATGGGTAACTTTGGGTGTTTCATTTGGAAACTATTCCTTCTTTTTCTCTACTGCACACTAATTCTAACAAAGTTATTTTCTATCAAAGGTCTTATGCATGAAGAGTATGTTTTTCTTGATGTGGCAAGTGGCAAAACCTATTTAGAGTATGCAGGTTTGGGGTCCTGGGGTGCACCTCCGTCTGCCCCTCAACATGGTGTGCTCCTTTCATCTTTATTCTGCCAGGCATGGCTACGGATGCTATCCACTCTCACCGGCATGCCCAATTTTCTGACATTACTTTGTAATAAGACATGAGTAATAGTCCCATGCTTTAAAATAAAACTCTGCAAGTATTATAAAAAGCTAAAAATTCCTTTTGACCATCCACGAGTTCCATTTCCCTATTTTTCTCTCTGAAGCGAGTGCTGTCATCATTTGGGAGGTGACCTTACAAAATATTTCCTATGCAGCGTATACACTCAGAAAACATGTAGTCGTATTTTGTACTGTGCAGGGATTTTGTTTCTTTCAGAAACAGTGCCATGCTACATATGTTATCTGGAAATTGCTTTCCTCAGTCAACAATGCATTCTGGAGTTCTTTCTACGTTCCTACCCCAGCTCAACCCATTCTTTGTGGCCACTGTAGAATACTCCACTATTTTGGATGAATCTCAGTTTATTTGTCCACTCCCCTTTCATCAGACAAGTAGGTTGTTTCTCAATTGTATTATTCTAGACATTGCTGTAATCTGCTTCCTTTCACATGCTTCCTTATGCACATATACAAATATTTCTTTGGTGTTAATAATAAAAGTGAAGTTACTGAACATGTGCATATTTTATTAAATAGACACAAATATCACAGAAGATTTTTACAATGCTTTGCACCCAAAATACTTGGGAATTTTAACTCCATGATAACCTCCAATGGTTTTATGTTGTAAGGAAACACCAGTAAGAGCTGAAGAGCTGTAGGCCTCAGATGCAATAATAAGAAAAAAAGGGGGTAATGCACCTGGATTGCAAGTCCATGCTTTCTGCTTCCACCCAAGAATGCTTATCAGAATATAAGAAGGGGTGAAATGATGATAATAATGGAAATCCTTAAATACATTATAATCCAAATTTTATACTTTCTTTGCAAACCTGTTGAAGTCTTTTGTGATTTACATGCAATTCACTCTTCCTGTACTGCCCAGGCTGGCAAATGGGAGCTATTGTGCCTGCTACTAACTCCCTAAGGCAGCACCAGCTCTGCACAGGGAGATTCAGTGGATCCTGGGCATGTATTAGAATGGAGATACTACCTAGGGAAGACAGGATATTCTCTCTGCCATGCTACAGGTGGTATCGTGCCTCCCTGGAAGTTGGTTAGTAGATACTGAGGTGATGGATGCTACACAAACACATTCTTCTACCATTCATACATCACACACGTGCACATGTGTGCACGCACACACACATACATACACATAAGCCTCCACAGCATTCCTGCAACTACAAGTTTCTGACATGGGTCTCTGATTCCCAAAAAGAGCACCATGAACGGTGGACCATCTCCTTGACTACATATCTGGGGTGCATCCCAGGCTCTTTGGAACCTATTTTGAGTCTATGAAGGACTGGAAATAAGACTTACTTTTGGTGAATGGGACTCCAATATGAGTCTCCACCAAGATACCAGGTGCTCTGTCCATCTATCCATTCCCTTACATGGAGACTTTTCTCTGATCTTAACATCAATCTTGGGCTTAAAATCAAACAGTGAGCAAAGCTGGTTTGATGAAACATCAACCTTAACTCTTTTGGGGTGTCTAGCATGGAGGGCAACCCGTTTCTCTTGCCTCTCACATGTAGTTCCTACATCCTTTATGTCTTTTCCCCAGTACCCCTTTGCAGTCCCAAACCTGACTTCGCAAAAATAGCCCCCACTTGCTCTGAAGGTCTGTGTCTGCAGAGGGCAGGTCTGAAGCCTGGCTGAGGGGGTTCTTTGTGCTGGTCTGCGGTCAAGTAGATGAGATGTGGGGGGTAAACATTCAGAAACTCCCGTAGCAATTTGACAGGATAACTTTAGGTCTGTTAAATCTAACAATATATTTGGACTTGAATTATGAGCCATATTTAACTTCATGTTCCTAACAATTCATTTGTATTGTATTTTACAAAATAACTGTGATGGATTGGAAATGTTTTTAAATATGTAAATTTAAATCAGGATGTTTTCTCAATGTCGCTCAACTCTCCCTGCAGACTAGTCATTTCATGCACTGTGGAGTGGGTGTGACAGGAGGCTCCTGATTCTTTTTTCTTTTTTTTAAATTTATATATATTTTACATCATTGTTCTTTTTTAAAGAATTATTTATTTATGCATACAAGAACTAGGATATAGGCTAGGGCTGTGGGGGGTGAGAGGATTCACCAGAGACAGTGGGGAGCAGAACAGGCAGATTGACTGAAGTACACTGCTGAGGAGAGCAGCGGGCAAGTCAGGAGAGGTCTGCTGCGCCATGTGGGTTTCTCCCTGGCTGGCCGGGGATCGAACTCATGTTGCAGTGACTGTGGACAGCTTCACAGGTTGCGTCTTAACCCCTTGCGCCACCAGGGAGGACCATCATCATTGTGCATTTTTAAACAATGTTTGCTTTCTCCCCACCTCAGGTGTAGTCCTCACAGAATTTCCTTCACCAATGCCCCATGCACTATCACCATAGTCCCCTGTTCTCTTCCCTCCCTCCCTCTGACCCCTCTCAATAGGCTCTGATTCTTGCTGTCCCTCACTGCAAGCAGCCATACCCTACATGGTGCAGCTGGTAAGATGCACGTGAAAAGGGAGTGTGGGTACTTCAAGGTTTTCCTCTAGTGTTTTCAGCTTTTCAATTTTGAAAAAGTCCACACATGAAGATTTCTGTCTGTTTGGTTAAGACCTCCAAGGGCAGCCAAGGTTTTCAAGGTTGTTCTCGGTCCTTAAGAACAAACATAACAACTTTCTCTGACATTGATGCTCCAGGACTGCTGAGAAGCAAACTCCCCACACCTAGTGGCTGCCTGAACACACACCTCACCCAGGAGGATATAGAGATGGAGGTGAGCATGAAAATATGTTCTGCGTCATTAGGTCACCAAGAAATTGAGGATCTAGACAAAGAGATAGCACCACACAACTGTTAGACCTGGATACTGACACCACCAAATGTTGGGGAGGAACAGGAACTCTCATTCATTGCTGGTGGGAATACAAAGTGGCACAGCCACTTTGGAAGGCAGTTTGGTGGCTTCTTACAAAACTAAACATACTCTTACCATCCAGTCCAGGTACGTAACTACGCTCCTTGCTGTTTACCCAAATGAGCTGAAAATTTACAGGCACCGGCACATATCTGTTAACAGATCTTTATTCATAATTGTCAAAACAGTTCCGGAAGCAACCAAAATGTACTTCAATAGATGACAGGATAAATAAAAGGAGCTACATCCAGACAATGAAATTTTATTCAATGTTAAAAACAAATCAACAACCAAGCCATTTTAAAAAAACGGGAGAAAGTTAATGCATATTACTAAAAAAGAAGCTAATCTGGAAAGGTTACATGCTGTATGATTCCAACTCTATGACATTCTGGAAAAGGCAAAACTATGGGGATGGTAAAAAGATCAGCGGTTGCAAGGAGTAGAGGAACTCAGGAAGGATGAGTAGGAGAAACAGAGAAAAATTTTAGGGCAGTAAAATTACTCTGTGTGTTATTATAATGGTAGAGACACAACATTATAGATTTCTCCAGACCTATAGAATGTACAAGACCAAGAGTGAACCGTCATGTAAACTCTGGACTTCGGGGGATAATGATATGTCACAGTAAGTTCATTGATTCTAACAAATGTCCTACTCTGGTGGGAGATTTGCTTGTGAGCAGGCTATGTATGTGTGGGGCAGAGGGGATCCGGGAACTCCGTACCTGATGCTTAATTTTGTTGTGAACTTAAAAACCACTTTTTTTTAATTTTTTTACATCAGTGTTCATTTTTAAACAATATTTGCTTCCCCCCACCCACCCCCTCAGGTGTAGTCCCAATAGAATTTCCTTCACCTGGGCCTCTCTGGTGGCTTGGGGGGTTAAGCACAGCACTATGAAGCAATCCACAGCCTCTGCAGCACAAGTTCCATCCCTGGATGGCCAGGGAGCAATCCACATGGCGAAGCAGACCTCTCCTGTCTCACCCACTACTCTCCTCAGCAGTCTATTTCAGTCAGTCTGCCTGTTCTGTTCCCCACTCTGTCTCTGGTGAGTCCTCTCACCCCCCCACATCTCTGGCCTGTACCTGAGCTCTTGTATGCATAAATAAATAAATCTTTTAAAAAAAAAAAGAATTTCCTTCACCAATGCACCCGTGCACCATCACCTCAGTCCCCTGTGCTCCTCCCACTCTCCCTGTGATCCCTCTCCCGCCTCCTCCCCTGCAGTCTGTCTCTGATTTATAATTGTCTGTGAAAACGACTTTTAAAAAGAAGATTTTTAACAAGATAAATAACTGATGATAGTTGTTTGTTTTTTTTTAAAGTAGTGACTAAGTCAAAGCATCATGTGTCTAGCTCATGTGTGTTGGATGGGGCTCAATGGGAAGAGTACATCTCTCAACCACTCAGCATCTGCTGGGCAGCCTGAAACCTGGACAGGCCGCATCAAAACCTTCTGCCTACAGCTGGCACCTGGGCTGGGGAAATGCAAAAAGCTGGCTGGAGAACCAGGCGCTCTGCTCCATATGTCTGTGTGGTCTCCCCAGCAGCCTCAGGGTAGTAAGATCCTGGTGAGCACCAGGTCACCAAAGCACTTGCCCCCAAAGAGAGAGCCATGTGGAAACTGTGTCACCTTCTGTGACTTCCACACAGCATCCCATCACTGCTGTGTTCATGGAGGAATTCACAAAGGCCAGCTAGGTTCAGGAGAGGGAGAGAGATTCCACCCCTTCATGGGGCATGGCAAGATTCCAGAAGAGCATGTAGGACTCAGAAATATTGTTGCAACCATTTTTGGAAAATACGGTCTACCATTACGGAGAAACAACTATAAGAGAGAAAATGCGTCAGGAGTTAAATGAGTGTGTCAAGGCAGTGGCCATGTCTGGCTCACCTGCTTGATATTATATTCGGATATAGTTGAAAGTCCACTGACCCAGTGGCCACAGGAAATATTTGGGGTCATGTCACCAGAAAGGAATGATTAAGAGGACCCATTAGTCTGCCATGCAACCCATGAGCATGTCAGGAGTTAAAGCTGCTGTCGGTGGCCCTGAAACCACATCCACTAAATGACTGGTACTCTGCTCTGCTCAACCAAATCAAGACCCCCCTCTTCCATGCTGCCTTCCTGGTTCCTCCTCTCCTGGCAGAATGCACCATTCCATCTCACATGCCGCGAAAGAACTGCACAGTAAGCTCTGCACCAGAGTGTGTTAACTATTACCATGCAGTCACTGGCTTGTTTGTTTCCCCTGAACATATGGAAATTTCTTGTGCTGTGTGACCATGTTTCCTGCATTGACACACCCATGACTGCTAGGCCAGTGCTCATACGTGAGGACTGTTGATTGAGAGTGAGAGAACAAAATGGGAAATCCCCAGGACCTGGCTATAAGGTTATATGTGTTCTTTTTGTGAAAAGAAGTTGAAATTTTGTTTATATTTCATCAGGAATCACATTCATACATGCACATTATATGTGTCCTAACTGGGCTGAACATGCCCGTGTATAAGTGTGTGTCTGTATATATGTGTGTGTGACAGTGAGTGTGTGTGTGCACTTATGTGTGACTGTGTTTGTCTGCATATGGAGGTGCCTATGTCTTTGTATGAATGTTTGTGTGAGTGCATACTTACATGTCAAAGGTTGTGTGTGAGCACATGCGTGCATGCATATTTCCATCTTCATATATGCCTATGCATGTGAATATGTGTATATGTGTGTGTGAGCATGCGCATGTATTTGTGTGTATGGACACAGCCGCCCATCCCAGCCAGCCGCGGGACTGCCTATGGGCCAGCAGGCGCCCTGCCCTCATTGGCTATTCCCCCAGCATCCTTGACGAGGCCATCCTTACTTCCTCTCAGGGATGAGGAGCTAAGCAGAGGTCAAGTGACATGCTCCAGACCCCACAGCAAGTCAGGGCAGCCCCGCGAGGGTCTGATTGCCAGGCCCACACTCCCCCTGTGAGGCCGAGCTGCCTCTCTGTGGCAAGCTGGCTCGGCGCCCAGGCCTCGCTGCCCGGCTCTGAGAGCCCCCATTGTGGACGACAAGTGGCTGTGTGCCATCGCCGCGATCCCGCAGGTGACGGGTCTGTTCTGAGATGCTGAAGGAGGAGTGACTCCCGAGGCGACAGGAAAGGGGCACCCCTCATTTGTGTGGTTAAAGGGTTGGAAATAACGGACATGCAAAGGGGAAAAGAGGAGAGAGGAAACCAAAGCTAATGAGGAATAATGAAGATGTCGAGAAGGACACACAGAGAGCCTGGTGGGAGGGGCGGCCCGAAGCGGAAAGCACACGCACACAAATAGCAGCAGGAAGCCCAGAGCGCTGGCGACCACATTGGCGCAGGAAACTTTTTGTTTCTGGCTTTAATTGGTGACCCCACTCAGAGTTGTTGGAAATGGGCACACATCAAGAGACTCGAGTGTGGGGTGAAAACAATGCCAGGCTGAATGGCGCGGAAAGGCGGCCAACAGCGGCTTTCAGTCCCGGGTACCCTGGATCCCAGCGCTGTGCTGCTGGACAAAGGAGGAGGCTCGGAAACCCTCCCGAGCTGTGCTCCCAGCTGGAGTCTCCTTGGAAAGTCCACCTGGACAGAGGTGCCCACGGGGGTGAGCTCAGTAACCCCAGGAGCACCAGCCGGATGCGCGCCGCGAGGCTTGACAATGTCACTGGAAATGGAGTCATGGAGAAAATTGCATTCGTCATAGCTCGTCTCATCAAGTGTGACCAAAAGGCATTCTTTTCAAAAAGCTACTTGGGGGTCCAGAGGAAGACCTCCCACGGGCCGGGCTTAAGTAACTACAGGCAGTCATTGAGCCCCAGCTAGAGTGGATGTTGCCTGTGACCGGCAGGCTCCATTTTCCTTGTTGGGATGGGTGGGTTAGGAACCAAAGCATAATTACCTGGGATGACAGAATGGGCCAGGCTGACCTCGACAGGTGCCGGGACCGACTTCCCCCATGCCACTTCTCCAGCCTCTTCCCAGATAAACAACGATTAAAAGTAGCATTTAAAGAGCAAGGAATGACTTTCATGCCTGAGGTATCCATATTTGGCTGAGACCACCATCTGCTCCAAAATCAGGAAAAATAAACCCAAAAGAGAAATTTCAAAAGTGAGCAAACCATAGCTAGAGGTGGATTTTTAGCCTTTTCTTTCTTCTTCCCACCTTAAGACTTCTTTTAAGGTAATTGGAAAAGAATAAAGGTATAACAATCTATGAAAAGCAAAAGTTAATGAGAAGGAAGCCAGTCATCAAAGGATGACAGATTTCAAAAAAATGTTCAGGACCCAGTGGGTGGGAACGTGGTGACACACAAGCCTGCAGAGGGCAAACCAGGACTCGATGTGCCCAGGATGGGGGCAATGGAAGGAGTCGACCGATCACACCCTCTGAGGAGGTTCAGGCTCAGTGTCTGCAGACTCAGTGTGGCCACCTGAAAAAAGAGGGGCTGTCGTGGGGATAGGGATTAAAACTATTCCCCAAACGACCAAACCATTCATTCCTACACACCCATCCCATCCGCCTTCCTCCAACTCAAAGCATAAAGAGGGAAGGCCACACAAAATGTTTCTCTCATTTTTCAAGAGGGAAAAGACAAACAACAGCAAAGCTATCTCTGGAGTTAGAGGCTGGTGTCTAGCTGTTAGAAGGCAGGACTCCTGGTGTGGGCACTGGCGCCAGGAGCCAAATATGTTCCATGCCATTTCCTTTGGCCTAAAGGCTCCTTTGCTGCTAAAGTAAGACCCGCTGTCAGTCAGTCCTGCCCCTCTTGAAAGTGCCCCACCCAATTTAGACAATTAATGCACACTTGCTATCCAGAAAATTTAATTAATTTCCTCCTCAAAAATCAACCAAAAAGATGGACTATGGTAGAGGTCTATGGGTGCCTTGATGGTGGGTGTGATGTGTGATGAATGTGTAACATACATCTTAAGCAGTGTGATCCTTTATCTCTGAATTATATGTAGTATTTTATTTTTTTCAGCATAAATTTTTTTAATTTTTTATTATTATTTTTTAAATTTTATATTTTTTTCACGCCATTTTTCATTTTTGCACGATATGCATTTTCATCTTGGTTATAGTCCCCATACAATTCCCCCCCCACCCCCGTTTTGATCCTATGGTATTTTAAACCAATGTTACCTCAGTAAAACCAATTTTTTCCAATTAACAAAAACAAAGGATAACCAGGTAGGTGGAAAATACTAACTAAAGAAATAAAAATATCAAAACAAACAGACAGAAATGACCCCAGAGAAAACAGATATATTTCAGGGAGTCAAGACAGCTTTTAAAAAGAACTCTAAATAGTACCCTCAGTGGAATTTGAGACTGCATCATATCCACAAAGCAAGAATAAGATATTCTAAAAATAAAGCAAAAAACAAGAAAGAATTCTTAGACATTAAAAGTATGTTTTAGGACTTTAAAATGAAATGGAATAATTGGAAGATATTGCCAAAGTAATTCCCAAGAACACAGAATAATATATAACAACCAAAAACATGATAGAGAAGCTAACATGCACAGAGAACTCAAGGAAATTACCTCAGAAACAGGAGTTTCAGGGCCTCCCCGGTGGCGCATCAGGTTGAGTGCTGCGCTGTGAAGCTGTCTGCAGCCTCTGCAGCACCGGTTCGATTCCCGGCCAGCCAGGGAGAGTCCCACATGGCACGGCAGACCTCTCCTGTCTCGCCCGCTGCTCCCCTCAGCAGTGTACTGTCCTTCTGCCTGTTCTGGTGAATTCTCTCTGTCTGCCTCTGTCTCTGGTGAATTCTCTCACCCTCCCGTGCCTCTGGCCTGTACCCCAGTGCTTGTGTAAATAAATAAATCTTTAAAAAAAAAAAGAAGAAGAAGAAAAAGAAAAAGAAGCAGGAGTTTCAGAAAAAAAAAATGCAGGGTTTTGGGAAGGGGATTTATAAAAGGCATGCAATAAAAGAAGAAAAACTATCAGAGGATTTAATCCAAGTCTTCACATTTAAATGGCCTACTGAGTCCCAGCAAAATGAATGAAAAAAGGAATACAAACATATATAAAATAAATAAAGAAGCGTTTCTGAAATTCTCTTGCCACCATCTGAAATTCTCATAACCACTATTTGATATATGTTTCTTCATCTTCTCTGCTGAACACAAACCAAAATAGCACCACATTAAACCATAGTGTGAAAGCTCACTCTTTTTCTAACAATATCTCTCTGCTGTTTCTCTCTGTCGATACATGGGACAGCCTCAAAAACAGAATGATGAAGACAATATTAATGCTTACCAAGCAGAGCTATTTTGAGATTAAATGCTTATGAGACACTGAATGTGGAATCACATGAGAATTGTAATGCAAGATAACTAATGTTGGTTGGAGCTCTAATTATAGTTAAAAATATAGAAAATTTGATCTGAAGCCAAAGTGCTCGATTAAGTGGCGTACTCCATGATCAACAGATATTCTCATTCATCATACCCAGAGATCACAGAAATCATGGCAGAAGCTGCTGGGTTTTCAGGAGCACACCTGAATCAGAGCACGCCGTGCATTATTTACTACAAGGAGAAAAAGCCTAACAGATGTTCTAGATAATGACTGTTTGTCATAGATATTATCTCCTTTGTCTGGGAACATGTACTCATGTTTATAGAAGTCCCTCTTGGGTTCCACATACTGCATAATAATGGAAATGATTCTTTAAAAGGCAGCTGCTAGAGCACATATTTTTCAACTGAGAATCTAGTATGACCAAACAATAGTTTTAGGTTAACAAGTCTGCTTGATCAACCTGATGTGCTACAAGTGGCAGCGTGTGACCTGACTCCCCTCTTTATTTGCTGTTACTAAATCTCTATGAATTCTAGTTTTCTAAAATGGTACTTAAAAGACTTTCCTTCCAAATGTGTTATGCAGGTAAGCTATAATATGCGTGATGTGCCCAGCATATTGGAAACATTTACTAACTAGAATCTATTATAGTGGTGTGTATATAAGGGATACAGACTAGTGTTACAGGATGTGTCACTGCAAAAGCGAGGCACATTGCTAGGGTTCTGGGAATGAGTGCCATTTTCCCTGCCCCAACTTCTATGCTGTCAAAATCGCAGACACCTTGGATTGCAACTCCCAGCACACCAGACTTCCAGAACGGAGAACTTCTGGGAAGGAGGAAATTGAGAAGCAGCTATATATTGGTATAGAGTGGGGAGGAAGGATAGACTGGGGAGGCTTCTCCTGATCCTTGGTCTTGGCAGCTTTGGTAGCTGGACTCTTCAAGGACAATGGCAGCCATCATCTTGACCTTGTGGGGAATTATCCATCTTGTATCCTCATGAATTTCAGGTCTCTCCTGATCACTCAGCTTCCTGAGCCCTGCCCAAGCTATTGCTTGTTTTTTCCCTGTCAGAAGGTGCCTTGAACTTGTTCTTCTGATTATTTTGCAGCTCAGGGTCCAGGCTGTTTGCCTGGACATTTGCCCACAAGGGGATGGGTGATTTCAGAATTTGATTGGGAGTCTCTTCCCCACTCCTTACTTTTTTTCTCTCTCCCCTTTGAACCTCGCACTGATTAAAGATCTTCAAAAACACTAAGAGTCTGCCTTCATGTACACAAGTAGATGGACCATTTTTTAAATTAAATTTATTGATTGATATATATTTTATATCATTTTGCATTTTGGTACAACATTTGCTTTCTCCTCTCAGGTGTAGTCCTTGTAAAATTCCTACCACCGATTCACCAGTACACCATCACCGTAGTCCCTTGTGTCCTTTCTCCCTTGTTTTGATCCCTCTCCCTCTCTACAGAAGGTCTCTGATTTATAAAAATGGGTTTTCCCTTTAGTAGTTTGGGCTTCACTAGAGACAATTTCATTTGCTTTATTTTTTCATGAATTCTATTAATTTAAGCTAAAGCCATGAAGAGAGTTAATTCCTAACCCTTCCAAAATAAATTTGAATTCATCCAACATTAATTTCATATTTGTACACCCAATGTTAATCAAAATACATAGCAAACAGACTTATTCCTTGGGCAAGTAATTCAATGTCTTCAATTATAGTTGACCCTTCTGTAAAATAGGAATAATAGTATATGCCTCAGAGAATTGTTGTAAAAGCATATTATGAGTATACTTGAAAAGTACAATGCCTATCTTATTTTTAATGATCCATAAATCTGAACTGTTTTTATTATAGGACCCACATCCTTTTAATCTCTTTAACAAGAAGACACTACAACACAGATTTCCCAAATGGAAATATTCTCACACATTAGTAGATATCATTTTTAAATAGCTGGCATGCCTTTATAATCATGGAATAATAGAGGTTTCATCTCAGTATCAGGATGCTGATGTATTATATTCCAAATATAATACAAAGGGCTGTATGTAAATTTCTTCTAAGTTTTTACTAAGATACAGTCAAAAGAGTTCTAAGAACAAATTGTTGTAATGTTAACTAAATTAACACAAACAAAAGAAGAAAGAAATAATAAGGTAAAGAGAAGTTTATATGTCTTAAAAGCTAACCCTACCTCTGCTCCAATTCATTGAATGACCTTGGACAATCCCAAGGCCTTATTTCATTGCTTGTAAAATGAATGTGTTCTTCTATCCTGCTACTATTCAGCATTCTCCTGGAGGTCCTACTCAATGAAGAAAAGAAGTTAAAGGTGTAAGCATGCTAAATGATGGGTCAACATTATGTTTATGCTTATCTTCATAGAAAAATTGCTGTTTGATTATCTACACAGAAAATTCCAAAAGATGTGTAGATAGGCTATTATATTTAATAAAAGAGTTCAACAGGATTTCCAGAGGCATGATAAACACAGACTCAAAAATAAAACAGATAATGTCCCTTTACACTGACAATGGCCAAACAGATTAGAATTTGAAAAGACCCTTTTTTCATTTTAGCAAAAACACTACTGTCCTAACAGTACTGTCCTAACAAAAGATGTATACAACCTTCATGGGGGAAATCATTAATCATTACTAAAGGATGTGAAATGAGATTGAGAAAATGTAAAGAGATGAAACATGTCCATGTTTGAAAAGAATCAATAATAAAATGATAGTCTTCCCAAAAGTGACCTATAATTTCAACAGAATTTCAATCAATGCCCCCCCAAAAAAAGGTTTTGGAATTTGATACCATGATTCTATAATTTCTATAAAACTATGGTTTTGTGGGTTTTTTTTTGTTTACTTTTTTATCAGGGATGATTTTTGCCCGTGAGTGGACAGATGACAATATCTAAAGTGGACAGTAGGTACACAGCATTGATGCTGCTAGTCACTCTACAATGCACAGAACAGCCCCCCAAAACAAAGAATATGACCCAAAATGTTAGTAATGCCAAAGTTGAGATACCTTGTTATATAAAAGGAAATAATCTGAAATATGCAAGACTAATTGAAGAAGGAGGGTTGCCTTATCAGATATCAGGTAATAAAAAATTTTAGTAATTAAAACCATATGGAAGTGTCACAGAAATAAACATAGTTATAAATGCATCAGAACAAAAAAGGCAAGCCCTAATGTAGATGGGATATGACAGAGAAGATATTACAAGCCCATGGGATGAAACGTTTACACTCCTCAATAAGAAATGTTGGGGGAAACAAAACAAAAATAAATTTTGGATGGACAAAAGGTCTTTTCCAAGCCTTAAACTCAGATTTAAAAAAAAGACCACAACCTGGAAGAAAATAACTTTCTTAAAAGATAGCATAAACAGGGGCCTCCCTGTTGGCACAAGAGGTTAAGTCTCAGGACTATGAAGCTATCAACAGCAACTGTGGCACTAGTTCAATCGCCAGCCAGGGAGCTACCCACATGGTGCAGCAGACCTCTCCTGTCTCACCTGCTGCTCCCCTCATCAGTGCTCCCTTCAGCATCTATTTCAGTAGATCCTCCTGTTCTGCTCCCCATTCTGTCTCTGGTGAATCCTCTCACCCTCACCCTGCCCGCAACTCTGGCCAAGCCCCAGCTCTTGTATGAATAAATAAATAAAATAAATATTTTTTTTAAAAAGATAGCATAAACAAATACAAAAGACAACCACCATATAGAGAGAAAAATCTACATACACATGAACCCACTTAGGATATATAAAGGACACTTAAATAGATATGAGTAAATTGAAAAAGGAAAAGGAAAGATCAAATTAGGTGATCTTTAAAGCTCCACTTCTTTTCTTTTTTGCACTGAGAAAACATTGGTTTACAAGGTTATTCGTGACTTAGAGACACAGCATGTCCCAATTCAGGTGTCAATACCACACCACACCCACCATCAAAGCACCCACAGTGTCCATAGTCCATTGTGTTCCCTCCACACTTTGTCCTTCCTCCTCCCTTCTTCAGTAGCTTAAGTTCTAGGGTTTATAGTGGTTTGGTTTTATCTGACCATTTGTTTTGTTTCTTTATATACCACATATAAGAGACACCATCCAGAATTTGTCTTTCTCCTTCTGACTTACTTCACTTAAAAGCACTACATGTTGTAATAGCCAAAAATTAGTACCTACTAATTAAGGTTTAGCATTTGTGTAAATGCATATATGCATTTTCTTGTATATTTTCCCATTCTGATTAGAAATCATGGAGTATTGGATGGTTCCTAAAAGTCTTAGCTATAGCTTTGCAGGGAAGGAATCCACAAAACTGTCATTGTCATAGACATATTCAGGTGTCAGGTGTTCATAGCTATTGTGTATAACCTGACAGTACTATTATTCCACACGTCCTTTTAATTTATCTTCAATTTATTTATATTGTAATTTCCCTCTAGTCATCTGGAACAGTATATAGTACAGAAAATTATACAGAAGGAGGGAGAGATATTTAATATTATGTTCCTAAACTGAGTTCTAACACACTTTGTATGTAATCCAAGAGCTGTGACATCTAGGTGCCCTTCCCCTGGTATCAAAACAAAAAGTAACAAAGTTTGTGAAAGTTCATTTTCCTCTCTGCCATTTACATTATCACAAATAAATGAAATACGATACATAGCAAGCAAGAAAAAATAAAGTAACCCATATCTTCTGAGCTTCCTGATCCTGAGATGGAAGTTTAAATTGGGTTCCTTTAAAAAGTCTGTCTCCTGGTCAAAAACATGAATGAAACCAAAAGCTGGTTTTTTGAAAAAGTAAACAAGGCAGACAAACCTCTAACTAGGATCACAAAGGAAAAAAAGTGAGAAAACTCAAATAAGTTGAATCGGAAATGAAAGAAGAATTACAAAGGACATCTCAGAATTCAGAGGATCATCGGCGATTACTATGAGTATTTGTATGCCAGAAAATTGAATAACATAGAAGAAATAGAAAAATTCTTAGAAATATACAACCAGTCCTCCCTGGTGGCTCAAGGGGTTAAGTATAGCACAATGAAGCAATCCACAACCTCTGTAGCTTGAGTTCTATCCCTGCTAGCCAGGAAGAAACCCACATGGCGAGGCAGACCTCTCCTAACTCGCCAGCTGCTCCCCTCAGCAGTGTATTTCAGTCACTCTGCCTGTTCTGTTCCCCACTCTGTCTCTGGTGGCTCCTCTCACCCCCCCACATCTCTGGCCTGTACCCCAGCTCTTGTATGCATAAATAAATAAATCTTTAAAAAAATCTTTAAAAGAAATATACAACCATTTGAGACTGTATTAGGAAGTGATAGAAAACCTAAACATATCAATTAAAAGCAAAGAAATTGAAAGAGTAAACAAGTCTCCTAAAAAACATAAGTGCATGACCAGTCTGTGTCACTAGTGAGTTATACCAAAACATCAAAGATGAACAAATACCCACCCTTCTCAAACACTCAAACACTTCTAAAATACTGAGATAAGAAAGAATACTTTTCAAACACATTTTATGAAGCCAATATTACCCTGATACTAAAACCAGACAAAGATAACACAAAAAAGAAAACTACGAGGCAATATTCCAGATGAATATAGATACAAAACTCCTCAACAAAATCTTTGCAAGTTTATTCAACAATGCATTAAAAGTATCATATACCATTGCCTAGTGGATTTATTCTAGAGACACACAAAAGGCTCAACATCCAAAAATTAATCAATATACTTTATCACATAACAAAAGGAAAGGTGAAAATCATATGATCATATCAATAAGATGCAAAGAAAACATGATAAGATTCAATATCCAGTTATGATAAAAACTCTCAAGAAATGCAGTAAGGTGGAAAATACCTCAACATAACAAAGGCCATGTATGACAACATGACTAACATCATTCTCAATGGTGAAGAACTGAAAGTTTTTCCACTAAGATCTGGTAGAAGACAAAGATGTCCACTTTCACCACTACTATTCAATATGACTTTGGAAGTCCTAGTTAGAGCAATCAGTTATGTAAAAGATAAAAAGGGAATTCAAACTGGGAAAGAATTTGATCAGTATTTTCAGATGACATGCTATCACACATAGAAAACCCTAAACAACCAAAAAAAGAAAACCTAGTTGAAACAATAAATCAGTATAGTAAACTGGCAGTTATAAAAATCAATTTACAGGGCCTCCCCGATGGCGCAGCGGCTGAGCGCTGGGTTGCAAAGCTGCCTGCAGCCTCTGCGGCGCCAGTTCGATCCTCGGCTGCTCCCCAGCCACCGGAGGAGGGTCCCACATGGCGCACAGACCTCTCCTGCCACCCGCTGCTCCCCTCAGCAGTGTACTTCGGTCCTTCTGCCTGCTCTGCTTCCTGCTCTGGCTCTGGTGAATTCTCTCACCCTCCCGCGCTTCTGACTGTACCCAGTGCTTGTATAAATAAATAAATAAATCTTAAAAAAAATAAATAAATAAAAGAGTTGTCATTTAAAAAAAAATCAATTTACAAAAAAATCAGTTGTGTCCCTATATGCAAACAGTGAAGTAGAAGTACAAGAAATCAAAAACACTCCCATTTACAATCACATCAAAAAGAATTAAATACCTAAGGGTAAACTCAGCATAGGAGGTGAAGGATCTGTATAATGAAAACTATAAGTCATTGTTATAAGAAATAGAAAACAAAAAAGAAATAAAGATATTTTCTACTCATGGATTGGAAAAATTGACATCATGAAAATGGTCCTCCTACCCAAATTAATATACAGATTCAAGGCAATCCTTATCAAGTTTAATTGGAATTCTTCAAAGAAATAGAACAAAAGGCCACTGAAAGTTATTTGGAACCATAAAGGACCTTTAATAGCTAAAGAAATTCTGACAAAAAAAGAGCAATGGTATCAAACTCCCAGACATCAAAATATATTACAATGTTATAACAACCAAAACAGTATGGTACTGGAACAAACACTGATACACAGACCAATGGAATAGAACTGAAATCCCACAAACACATAATTATGTGGACAGTTAACCTATGACAAGGAAACCAGGAGTATACATGGGAGAAAGAAAATCCTCTTAAGTAAATGGTATTGGGAAAAACTGGACAGCATCATGAAAAAGAATGAAACAAAACCACTATCTCATACCTTACACACACACACAAACCTCAAAATGAGTAAGAGACTTGGCTGTAAGACCTGAAACCATAAAATACATAGAAGCAAACAATAACAAAACATTGTGTTTTGTGGATGTCTTTGTGGACTGCTCTGCAATAGCAAGAGAATAGCAAGCAAACAATTGGTACTATATGTCACTCAAAAGCTTTTGCAGAGTAAAATAAACCTTACTGAATGGAGAAACATTTGCATACTATAAATCTGACAAAAGGGGATAATATCCAAGATCTACAAGGAATTCCTACAACTCAACAAAAAGAAAATAAATACACCAATCATAAAATGGTCAGAAGATCTAAATAAATAGACACTTCTCCAAAGAAGACAACACAGGCACATGAAAAAATGTTCATCATCACTTAACAGAGAAATGCAAATCAAAGCCCCAATGACATACTGCTTCACACCTGTAAGAATCGACTGTATGGTCCAATGCTTCCAGAACCCAGCCTCTCAGCAGTGGCAGCCGGCAGGAGCTTTGGTGTTTTCAGCCTGCTGCTCCACCACAAGTCAGTTGAGGCTGTTGCTACTCGGAGCTCAGTAACTGCCTTTTTGTCAGTTGTGGCAGTTGCTCCTCAGAGACTTTTTAATGTAACAGTGTGCTTCCTGGATCATGGCGTGGACCAATCAGGTGCTACCTGTGAGCTGATTGGTGCTAAATAGTCCAATCAGACTTTTGTTACCAGGACCCAGTCTCTCACCACAAGTCCGTTGTGGCAGTTGCTCCTCAGAACTCAGTAACTGCCATTTTGTAATGGACCAATCAGGTGCTATGGGCTGACAGGTAAATGACCCAGTCAGCCACAGGACTGAAAAATGGTCCCATCAGACTTGTGGACTGCGCACCCTGAACAGGATATAAGCCAGGGTCCGAGGGAGCTGAGGGAGACATGACCCCATTCCTGAGAGCCCATCTCTTTTGGATGCCAGCCCCTGAAAGAGAGAGCTGAGGACGCCAGCCCCTGAAGAAAAGAGGGTTCCAGTCTCTGAAGAAAGAAGAAAACAAGCATCCAGCAGCTGACCTCTGCGGGTGGAAGAGAGGCCGAAGGACTGTCACAGACTGGGCCTCGGTTCTGTCTACGACATTGCCTGAGAGGAGCACCAAAGGCCCTGGGCCTGGTGTCGCAAGAGCTGTTTGTGGTTGGGATAACCCGACAACTCACAAAGAGCTGTTAACACTGGGTGTCTCTGACCCTGACTCTGCGGGACCAGCAGTGGCCATCACTACTGACCAGTGTGGTCCAGCACTCCTGGTGACCGGTAGTGACCATCACTGACACTATCTGTGTGAGGTAGCAGCCTCTTGTGGATACAGTGCGAGCTCTTTGCTTCCTCTGTTTGTAAAATAAACCCCGTGGTTTTTGTTCCTGGAATCTGAGTTCTCTTGCAATTGTGCGCACGGGTGAGAACCCACAGACAGTGACCTGTCCTCTTATTGGGCACTGTCTCTTGTTAGGCTATAGCCCTTGGTTTTAGGGCTTTGGTCTTTTGGCCTTTTGGGGCTTTTTGGTGACTCTCTGGTCTCAGAGCCTGGGCAGTTGGGTGGCCATTCCATTCTTCCATCCGGCCTCCTGCCCTACTGCCCTTTTGTCTTCTCCGGCCCCATTTCATATATAAAAAAGACCAGAAATGACAAGTTTTGGTGAGGATGTGGAACCAAATACTGTTGGTGGGAATGCAGACTGGTCCAGCCCCTTTGGAAAACAGTATGGATGTTCCTTGAAATATTAAAAATAGATCTACCATATGATCCAGCAATTCTATTCCTAGATATATACCCAAAGAATGCAAAAGCACTAATTCAAAAGGTTGTATGCACTCCTATGATCATTGCAGGACGATTTACAATAGCAAAGTTAATGGAAACGACCTGACCGCCCAAAAACAGATGAGTGAATTAGGAAGATGTGCTATATACACAAGGTAATTGTTCCCAGCTATTAAAAAAAAAAAATACAAATGCGTGCCATTTGCAACAACATGGGTGGAACTGAAGGGGTTTATGCTAAATGAAATAAGCCAGAAGGAAAAAGACAAATACTGGATGATATCACATATATGTGGACTAGAGAGAAACAGATAAAACCAAACCATTAACACATCCCAGAAATTTGACTGTAGACTTGAGGCTACTAGAGAGGGAGAGAAAGGGGGAGAGAAAAGTGGGGAAGGGGCACAACAGACTAAAGCGGAGGACTGGGGGTGCCTTAACGGCAGGTGCAGTGTGGCGAAATCACAGACAGTATTGTGTACCAATGTTACTTCAGGAAAGTAATATAATCTTTAAAAAATAAATAACATTAAAAGTGGATTTGTGGGCCTCCCTGGTGGCACAGGTGGTTGAGTGTAGCACTGTGAAACTGTCTGCATTGCGGGTTCCATCCCGGCCGGCCACGGAGATACCCACATGGCGCAGCAGACCCCTCCTTCTCGCCCGCGGCTCCCCTCAGCAGTGTATTTCAGTCAGTCTGCTTGTTCTGTTCCCCCTCTGTCTCTGGTGATTCCTCTCACCCTCCCGCACATCTGGCCTGTACCCTGGTTCTTGTATGTATAAAAAAGAATAAATCTTTAAAAAAAAAAGTGGATGTTGTAAGGAACATAAAGTTTCATTAAACTACCTTAATTTTAGAATCACAGAAATTTAGAAACAGCATATCAGAATTTATCCACTCTCTCCTAAATATCTCACTAAGAATCCTCTTATTACATCCCCCCACAACTCTATTTTTGTGACCTTGACATGGTATGAATGATAGCAGAGTCAAATACAGAATTCAGTTTGATATATTAGTAAAAGTGAGGACTCTGGAGCCAGGCAACCACTAACTATGTAACATTGGACAAGTCGCTTAACCTCTGTACTTTCTCCATGTTCTCAAGTACAAAATGGGACAGAAGTAACCTCCTTCATAATCATTGGAAGGATAAGATGTGCTAACCCAGGTAATGTGTTGAACAGAGGCTAGAACACAGCCATAATTCTGTGGATGCTGAGTACTGCTAATATTCTCTTCTCAATGAATGTTGCATGTCCTCATTTAAGGAGTTACCCAAGTTGGAAAAAACATAGTTCTCAATTATCCATTATTTTATTATTATTATTATTATTATTTTAATTTATATATTTTACATCATTTTTCATTTTTGCACAATGTATGCACTTTCATCTTGGTTATAGTCCCCGTACAATTTCCCACCCCCTGCAGTTCCTCTCTGGTTTATAGTTGCTTGTTGTTTTTGATTTTTACTATATTATAATTAGTCTTTTTCCTGGTCCCTTATTTAAGTTTTCTAAATTCCTGCTATGAGTGAGACTATCTGGTATTTTTCTTTTTCTTTAGGACATGGAAACATTAATTCCAAAGAGCACCTGCACCCCTATGTTTATAGCAGCACTATTTACAATAGCTAAGCTATGGAAACAACCCAAATGCCCAAAAATAGATGACTGGATAGAGAAGATGTGGTACATATACACTATGGAATATTTCTCAGCAATCAAAAAAGATAAACTCATGCAATTTGCAGCAACATGGATGGAGCTGGAAGGGATGATGCTCAATTATCCATTCTAATGGAAACAAGTGGTAATGCAGACACAAATACCATGAATGATGGACAACCTAAAACTGCACTGCCCTTAGTCACTCATTACATGAGGTTAAGTTTAAATTTAAATTAATTAGGGTTAAAAACTATTTAAGATTTCCTTTCTCAGTTGCACTAACCACATTCCACATGATAATGCTACACATGTGACCAAGGTTACCATATTGGGCAGGACAGATGACAAAACATATCCCTCATGTCCAATTAATATTGGACAATATTGATCCAAAAGACATATGTGAAAAATATTGTCTTCCTAATTCTATATCACCAGAAAGAAAAATCTACATTGTCTAAGAACAGGTAGACAGGAGGATGGGAAAGGTGACCCAGAGCTTGCTGGATAGCAGGGGGTATTGTGTAGAGTGGTCTTCCTTGGGTTACATTTCATGCAGTGAATCTGTGTTGCCAAATATTCCACCTTGCCTTTTTCTTCATCTAAAAAATATTTCAGCTTACATTTGAAAAACTCACATCTGGCAAAAAAAAAAAGCCAGCTTAAGACATTTTGAAAACTCAGCATTACCAATTAAGATGCCATCATGGGTGGCAACAGGGACTCATTAGAGCGGCTGGGGTACAGGGCTACGTGCACATGAATGTCCCAGTCTGAACTCATTACAAATCCAGTATGTTTGTGGCTCAGTAAGATGTCCTTACTTCATTTTTCTATTACTGTTATCATGGTGGATCAAAACAGACAGATGCATTTACTGGTTTCCCTCTAACGATAATAAAAAGAAACAGTTTATAAAATCAGATTATATAAAAAATTGCCTAATGATAATAATTTATAAGCTCATTGTGGAATAATGATGTATTCAAGAATTGTCGTTCTATGATGAAAGAAAGGTAATATGAAAGATTTTCTCTGTGAAGAATGACTACAGATGAATTGCGCTGAGATACAATTCCCCGATAAGGGACAATAAGAACCTCTAGAACACTTAATAATAGACTACTCAGGGTGAATTGAGGATTGCAATAAAAGCCCATAAATTAAAAAGTTTCCATATGATTTCTGATAAAAGACATGCCAAGGTGATATAACGAATCATCGGAATCAACTGACAAGCTGCCTATAGCCAGTAGGTCACAAAGGAGAAATTTCTAGGAAACTATATAAAATATAATTTCTCAAATCTAGGAACTTTTAAAGCCTAGATTTCATCTCCATAGAATTCTTTTTCTGTGAAAAAAATTTCTAGAAAAGAAGTAAGGTTTAGAATTGGACTTCATGTGGTGAACTTCATGTAGCTTATACAGACACTGATTTTTTTAACAATGTACACGTGGAACTTATATAATGTTATTATGCAATATTACTTTGATAAAACATAATTTTTTTTTACTTGCAAGAAGACCATAGATCTGAGGCATACAACAGGGGAGGGTGAGGGACAGGGGTCAAAACAGGCAGGGGGAAGAGCACAAAGGATTGTGGTGATGGATCACAGTGCTGTGGTGATGGAGAAACTACGGGGACTACACCTGGGGGTGGGGGGAATCAAATACTGTCCAAAAATGAACAAAATGTAATAAAATAACAGTAAAAATTTAAAATAAAAGAAAAAGAGAGAGGGGGAGGGAAAAGAAGCTGTAGAATTATTTGCACAAAAAATAATCCTAAAGGCAAGACTATGTGCTTTTCTATGTGCATATTTGTGTGCAAATGCATAGAAACCACATATATACCAAACTTCTAAATAAACACCAAACTTGCAGTAATACCTCTAGGAAGGGTGGTAGGACTAGGAATGGAGGGTTCAAGGATTTTGCTTTGTTCCATAGGTACTTCTTTACTGTCTGATCTCTTCTACAATGATAATATATTCTTTAACTAACTAAAACCACTAGCATATGTGTATGCATAAGCACGCACACCTCTACACACCCACAGATAAAGTTATTTATGTGTCTGAGCAAAAGCTGCCTTAAAGTCACAGAATCTTTCAATTTAATT